AACCCGCGGGCTCAGGCAATCCACTCACCTCAGCCTCCCAAAGCGCTGGGATTACAGGCTGAGCCACCAAGCCCGGCTATCAAATATTTTTTAAATCCAAGTTTTCTTTCTTTTTTTTTTGAGTTGGAGTCTCACTCTGTTGCCTGGGCTAGAGTGTGGAGTGCAGTGGCATGCTCAAGACCACCACAACCTCGACCTGCTGGGCTCAGGTGATCCTTCCACCTCAGCCTTCCAAGTAACTGGAACTATAGGCATGCGTGCCACCATGCCTGGCTCTTTTTTTTTTGTGGAGATGAGGTTTCGCCAAGTTGCCCAGGCTGGTCTCGAACCCTTGGGCTCAGGCAGTCCTGTCACCTCAGCCTCCCAAAGTGCTGGGATTACAGGCATGAGCCACTGTGCCCACTCAATCCTAATTTTCATTCAATAAATATTTACTGGGCACGTATCATATGCCAGACACAGTCCTACTGCTCTTGGCAGCTTCTCCCTAGTCTCCTTTTTTCTAGCTTTTCCTTGGCCTGTTCCCTAAATGAGATATCCTACCTCAGCATTTTTCTTAGTTAACCATCCCACGTTTATATAATTCTCACTCAGAACTTCAACCACTGCTTTTAAGCCAGTTACAGGTGCTACCACCACTCTCCTCTGTCTGGACATTTCTCTAACTAGGTGTCCCTTATTCATCCAAAATCAAACTCCCTAATAATCACTAAGCTCCAACTACAGAGGGAGCCAAAAACATGCATGCACTTTTTAAGAAAACAAAAAAACTAGATTAAAATTGTAATACTTAATACATACCGATAAAAGATGAATACAAGTCACGCTTGACTTCTCCAATTACAACAGGTGCTCAAAGTGGTTACCATCAGCATCCAGACACTTCTGATTACAGCGAACTAAAAGTAATACATAGATAACCTCGCTTACATTTTTTTGGCACCCTTGGTATATGCCAATTACTGGACCAGGTACAGGGAATACAAAGCTGAGTAAGGCACAGTTACGTTGGTACAGTGCAAGTGCTACAACAAGGAACATTAAAGCACAAAGAAAAGAGGAACCAGCTAACCCTACTAGAGAAGAGAGTGCAGCACTAACTTCATATAGACCATGATATGAGGCATATTTTGGTGAAATAAAATGCCTTTTGAAGTGACAATTCAAAAGGCAAACAACAGGGAATTTCACACTTGAAATGTGCAAAAGCAGGAAAGTTCCAAACTCAAAACAAAATGTGTTCAGCTTGGGCAACATAGTCTCTAAAAGAAAAATAAACCTTGGCGGGGGATGGTGGCTCACGCCTAGAATCTCAGCACTTTAGGAAGCTAGGGTGAGAGGATTGCTTGAGCATGGGTTTGAGACCAGCCTGGGCAACTTGACAAGACCTCATCTGTACAATAGATCAAAAAAATTAGTTGGGCATGGTGATGCGTGCCTGTAGTTCCAGCTACTTGGAAGGCTTAGGTGGAAGGATCACATTAGCCCAGCAGGTCGAGGCTGCAGTGGCTGTGAGCATGTCACTGCACTCCAGCCTGGGCGACAGAGTGAGCCTCCGACTTAAAAAAATAAAATAAAAATAGACCTCTAAGATAAAAAAAAAACCTGGTCTCTAAAATAAAAAAAAAATAGCTACGTGTTGTGTATGCCCATTGTCCCAGCACTTTGGGAGGTTGAGGTGGGACAATCGCTTGAACCCAGCAGTCTTAGGCCAGCTTGGATAACATAGTGACACCACGTCCCTACAAAAAAAAAATAGCCGGGCGTGGTGGCATGTACCTGTAGTTTCAGCTACTCAGGAAGCTAAGGTGAAGGATCACTTGAACCTGGGAGGCTGAGGCTGTGGTGAGCAGTGATTATGTCATTGCACTCCAGGCTAGGTGACAGAGTGAGAGCCTGTCTCAAAAAAAAAAAGAAAAAAAGAGCCTGGAGTGTATTCTCTAGGCAATGCAGAGTGTTTTAGAAAGACACTCTGGTAGCAGAATGGAGGACAGAATGAAGAGAGGTGAGGGAGGCTGCAAGGAAACCAGTAGGAAACTTCTGTATTTCTCCAGAAGAACGTGGGAGTGGAGAAGAACCTAAACTTGATGTATTCCATTGTTAGAATCAACTGCATGGGGCAAGTACTGAGGGAACAGAGTACAGGATAGGGAGAAAATAAGATTAAAATCAGTGTGAGGTTGTTAAGCTGAGGCGCATGCAGGACTTAGGTAATTCATGAATTACACATTCTTCAAGATTGCACCTCTCTAAAGCTTACCCCACACTCCCAAGTAGAGTGACTAGTACCTTCTCTAGCTCTTCAAACAGATCTCTATTACAGCCATTTTGCCCTTTCCTGCCCAGCATTTGCAGTCCTCCTGCTGGACTCTGCTGAATTTTCTCCATGTAATTTATCACCTTCTGTCCCATATTATCTACTTATTCTGGTTAATGTCTGCTGTGCATCCCAATCCCAATGTACACAGGGCAGGGAATTTTACCTGTGGTTAAATAAAACCCATATAACCCCCCCAAAGATATGTAATCATTGTCTTTTTCTTTTTTCTCCAGCAGTTTATTTTTCTTGAGATTTTTATTACAATGGAACAGTAGAACAGACATCATAACTCCTTTATATCATTCAAAGAAGAATAATTTTCATCTCTTCCTACTATGTTGCCTAGGCTGGTTTGAACTTCTTGTCTCAAGCAGTCCTCCCACCTTGGCCTCCCAAAGCACTGGGATTGGCCAGGCAAGTGGCTCACGCCTATAATTCCAGCACTTTGGGAGACTGAGGTGAGAGGATTGCCTGAACCCACGGGTTCAAGACCAGCCTGGGCAACTTGATGAGACCTCATCTCTACAATAAATAAAAAAATTAGCCGGGCATGGTGGTGCATGCCTGTAGTTACAGCTACCTGGAAAGCTGAGGCAGAAGGATCACCTGAGTCCAGCAGATCGAGGCTGCAGTGGCCGTGAGTGTGCCACTGCACCCCAGCCTGGGTGACAGAGTGAAACTTCAACTCAAAAGCAAAACAAAAACAAGCAAACAAAAACAGCACTGGGATTGGCCTTATGTCTGGACAATATATTTTCTTATTCTTTTCACCACATTCATTTGCTTGTATGCTTCCCTTTCTTGGATTGGGTGTCATTCCATCGACTTCAGAATTCTAAAACACCTGCTTTCTACAAGATCAAATGCTTCTTGTTGGGACTATCCAGTAAAACATCATGGAAAATTTTCACAATTACCATGACATCCAAGCTATGCAGATATACCTAAGTGAATAAAATAAATAAAAAAAGAGTTATGGAGAGTAGGGGGAAAATACCAACTTGCATCTCCACAACCATATTACAAGGAGTTAAAAGTATTATTTTCCAGGATGGCAAGACATTTACACCCATTAGAGGAGAGCAATGCAGTGATGCCTGGCATATAGTGAGGGCTCAACAGAGGTTACCTGATGTTATCATTGATAATAGGGTGAGCATGCTCCATATCTTCTTCCTCCCCCCCCTTGAGTAGGAGTCTTACTCTGTCACCCAGGCTGGAATGCAATGGCACACTAACGGCTACCGCAGCCTCAGCCTGTTGGGCTCAGGTGATCCTTCTACCTCAGCCTTCCAAGTAGCTGGAACTACAGGCACGGGCCACCACACCCAGCTAATTTTTTGATTTATTATAGAGATGTGATCTCACCAAGTTGCCCAGGCTGGTCTCAAACCCCTGAGCTCAGGCAGTCCTCTTGCCTCAAAGAGTACATGGCCATATCTTAAGTCTACCTGTGGTTGAATCCTTTTTTTTTTTTTTTGAGCTGGAGTCTCACTCTGTCACCCAGGCTGGAGTGCAGTGGCAAGCTCAAGGTCACTGCAGCCTCAACCTGCTGGGCTCAGGTGATTCTTTCACCTTAGCTTTCCAAGTAGCTGGAACTACAGGCATGTGCTACCACACCTGGCTTATTTTTTGATTCATTGCAGAGATGAGGTCTTGCCATTTTTCCCAGGTTGGCCTCAAACCTGCAGGCTCAGGCAATCCTCTGGTCTCCACCTTCCAAAGTGCTGGAATTACAGGCTTGAGCCACCGCACCTTATGGTTGACTCTTTTAAATATTTCCCTTTGATGGCGGAAGGTTGTTAAGATGATTAGGTGATGGTCTGCTCTACATCATCACAAAGGCGCAGGCAAATGCCCCTAGGTCAGGAGATGAACAGGAGGCAGATGGGTAGGTTAGTCACATGATTGCTACCATGATGGTAGGGTCTGTCAAGAAGGTCACACAGGGCTGATTAGGTTAACTCGGGTCTTATGGGTGAAGACAAATACTTGACATACAAAAGCTAATTAGTACAAAGCAAGCTGGGGATGGGGGTTGCAAAGCAATTATCAGTAGCTACCTCTGAGAAACCAGTTGTGTCCTTGGCTAGTGATTAGAGGGTAAGTGAACTGCTTGAAGAACATGAGATTTAGACAATGTTAAAATGGCTGCTCGTTAGGTATATTAAATCCGTGTTATGTCCTTCCAGTTGGCATCTAGGAAGACTGGAAAGATCAAGTCAAATCTCTCAAGCTTATCAGCAGAGATGCAACCACAGTCTGAATTCCTGGAAGTGAAAGCTCAAAGTTCTCAAGTTTCTGGACTGAGGACCAGAAAGGAATATGGCCTGCTTAATAAGACAGCAAATAAGGTCGGGCACCCAGTAGCTCAGGCCTGTAATCCCAGCACATTGGGAGGCCAAGGTGAGAGGATTGCCTGAGCTCAGGGGTTCAAGACCAGCCTGGACAACTTGGTGAGACCTCATCTCTATAATAAATAAAAAAATAAGCCAGGCGTGGTAGCACATGCCTGTAGTTCCAGCTACTTAGAAGGCTGAGGCAGAAGGATCACCTGAGCTCAGCAGGTGGAGGCTGCGGTGGCTGTGAGCGTGGCACTGCACTCCAGCCTGGGCAAGAGTTAGACTCTCACTCAAAAATAAAATAAAATAAATAAGATGGCAAAGACTTAGTACATGGGGGTGGGGGTGCTGTTTCTCCGATTCACCTTTTTAAAAAAATTTTAATAAACTTCATTTTCTTCACCATACTTCCAATGTAAGTTAAATGCTTGCCGTGAAAAAAATAAACAAATATAAACGTTCTGAATCCAACTGATTTATTGCACTGAAATTGTGATCTTTGAGAACGTAGTTTCGCTGGGCCCAGATGTCTTGCTCTTCTATGAAGGAACACATGGCAGGGGGAAGCACAGTTTAGTTGGTAGCTAAACCTAGCAAAATCCCTTTGCTGTGATGGGAGTTGCTGATGTAGCTGCCCCCACGCTGGCTTTTGTTTAAAAATGAGTAAGGCTGGCCTGGGTGACTCAGCCTGTAATCCCAGCACTTTGGGAGGTCGAGGCAAGAGGATTGCCTGAGCCTGCGGGTTCGAGACAAGCCTGGGCAACGTGGTGAGAACTTGTCTCTACAATAAATAAAAAAATTAGCCGGGTGTGGTAGCGCGCACCTGTAGTTCCAGCTACTTGGAAGGCTGAGGGGGACGGATCACCGGAGCCCAGTAGGTCGATGCTGGGGTGGCCGTGGGTGTGCCACTGCATTCCAGCCTGGGCGACAGAGTGAGACCCCCAACTCAAATAAATAAATAAAATAAAATAAAAATGAGTAAAAGTAGGGAGAGAGATGACAGGAGCCTTGGAAAGGGCCGGAAAGCAAAAACAAAATCATGAGGTCAGGAGACAGCTGCCCCACTATACCAGCACAGGTACCAAACAATTTTAAAACCGCAATCTGGAAAGTGTTTTTCTACGTGAAAACCATTGGTGGAGGCGGTCTTCTATGTTCGTCCCTGTAATGACTAGCCTAGGATTGAGTCCATGAGCACTGTCATCTCGGTTTCTAACCCTCTGCCCTTCCGGAAGGTGTTCATTAGACGGAAACACACACCTGTTTCGAGTTGTAGAACTGTTAAAATCCTTTGCTTTCCTAAAAATGGAAACGGCTGCGGAGAAACAGACATCTACACCCGTAGAGACATACACAAAGCGCCCGGCTTCACCACCAGGGCATAATCCGGGTTCCCTGGGGCGGAAAGGGTTGGCGCCTCCTCGTACGTCATAGGCCAGCGCCGGAAGTTGACAGCGACACAGCGATAAGTGGGGTTCTGTTTGAAGTGCGGAGTAAGAAGTTTTCTGGGTTCTGCGTAGGTGAGGAGTTGGCGGGTTGGAATTTGTGGGTGGGTATTTGGGCCAACAATGGGATGAACTTGAGGTTAGAACTCCTGTGTGGAGTTAGAGATTGGGAGAAGCTGGGGATAGAGTCAGCGCTGTCGGTCCTTTCCATTTTCTTTTAGTTTAGATGTTTAGCTGTTAGGAGTATTTCATTGTTCTTTCCTTCGGTGGGTCTGTTCCCCTGTTGAGGGAGATAAATATTTTGGCTAACCTCTGCTAAAGTTTGAAAAATAGAACTTGTGTTAAATGAGGACGCGAGCTTTGCAGTCAGATCTGAAAATCTTTGCCTCGTAGTAGCTGAATAATTCTGCGGAAATTAATTTCTCTAAACCTCGGTTTTTTCGTCTGCAAAATAAGATTGATGCCTCCTAGGATTATTGTGAAGATTATAATAAAATAATATATATCAAGTATGCATTGTTGTGCCTAATTTGGAGTAATGCTCAATACCTTTTTTTTTTTTTTTTTTTAAGCAGGGTTTATTGAGAGGACAGAAAAGCTCCCACAGTGGGAGGGGACCAGTGCTCAATACTTTTATGTGTGTGTTTCCTCCTTTAGACCTAACCTATAGGCGTTTGGGGAAAAGTACAGGTTAATCATTGGAATCTTTTTAGCTTTACCTAAGAAAAATGGGGCCTGGTTGGATTTGTGAGAAACCTTTTTGAGATATTCAATGTTGGAGTCTGTGATTTCAGGTACTAACAATGGACACCCAAAAGGATGTTCAACCCCCAAAGCAACAGCCAATGATATATATCTGTGGAGGTAAGAGTAGCACTTATATTATAAACTAAGAGTATTTTACTTAAGGTTTTAAATCATTACATTTATTGTTTGCTTGTATGAGTTACTGATCTTCAAAGTTATAAAGTAGAGCATTTAAACATTAAAAAAAATAAGCATTTCTCAGGCCTGGTGCAATGACTCGTGCTTGTAATCCCAGCCCTTTGGGAAGCTGAGACAGGAGGATTACTTGAGCCCAGGAGTTTGAGAACAGCTTGGGTAACAGCGTGAGACCCCATTTTTATTTTATTTTTACTTATTTATTTATTTTTATTTTTAAAATTTTTTTTTTGAGTTGGAGTCTCACTCTGTCGCCCAGACTGGAGTGCAGTGGGTGGCCACTCCCGGCCACCGCAGCCTCGACCTGCTGGGCTCCGGCGATCCTTCCGCCTCAGCCTTCCGAGTAGCTGGAATTACAGGCACGCACTACCACGCCCGGCTAATTTTTTGATTTTATTGTAGAGATGAGGTCTCACCTGCCCAGACGGGTCTCAAACCCGCGGGCTCAGGCAATCCACTCACCTCAGCCTCCCAAAGGCGTGGGATTACAGGCTGAGCCACCGAACCCGGCTCCATTTTTATTTTTTTAAAATGTTTTTTCATGCTAAGATTTCATTTTCTCTCCTGTAAAAAGTGTGTTTTCTCCAATTCTTTCCCACTTAATATATTAGTAGTAGCAGCATACCCTTGAAATTGCATACATTTTTTTTTTTTTTTTTTTTTTTTTTTTTTGAGTTGTAGTCTCACTTCGCCCAGGTTGTAGTGCAGTGGTACACTCATGACCACCGCAACCTTGTCCTGCTGGGCTCAGGCAATTCCTCCAGCCTCAGCCTTCCAAGTAGCGGGAACTGCAGGTGTGTGCCATCATGCCCTGCTAGTTTTTTTGATTGATTGTAGAAACAAGGTCTCACTATGTTGCCCAGGCTGGTCTCAAACCTGTGGGCTCAGGCAGTCCTTTTGCCTCGGCCCCCTAAAGTGCTGGGATTAGAGACATGAGCCACTGCATCCAGCCAAGAGTGCGTATATTTCAATACTTTGGGTTGCCTTGGGTGAAAAATATAGTTATGATAATTTGCTTGTCTGTATTATTTTCCTTTTAGGCTTTGAGTAAATGTGTTTTCCTTTCTAGAATGTCACACAGAAAATGAAATAAAATCCAGGGATCCAATCAGATGCAGAGAATGTGGATACAGAATAATGTACAAGAAAAGGACTAAAAGATGTATCCTTTTAACTATGCTTTTTAAATATGAGGTAAGAGGAAATGAACAATAATGCTGAATTGATAAAGACTAATTTCTGGTAGAATGTTAACTTTTAGGTTACAGTACTTAACTTAAAAAAAACATGGTTAACATTTTCATGGACCAGTGTATAGGCTCCAAATAATCTAAATACTAGTTGATTTTGGTTCTCATAAACTTGAGAAATGTGTTCATAGGCAATTTCATTGTTCTTACACATACCTAGGTGGTATAGCTTACTGCTCACCTAGGCTGTATGGTATACCTTCTTGCTTCTAGGCTGCAAACCTGTACATCATATTACTGTCATGAATAGTATAGGCAATTATCACATAGTGGTATTTGTATATCTAAACATAGAATAGGTACAGGAAAAATATGGTGTTATCTTAGGGAACCAATATTGTATATGTGGTTCATCGTTGTCTAAAATGTTTTGTGGTAGCCGGGCTCGGTGGCTCAGCCTATAATCCCATACCTTTGGGAGGCTGAGGTGAGTGGATTGCCTGAGCCTGCGGGTTCGAGACCTGCCTGGGCAGCGAGACCTCATCTCTACAATAAATCAAAAAA